ATTTAGAATAAGAAAAAGACAACTTAGGGGAGACTTAAAAGACATGAATACATAGGTCAGTGCAGAACTGAGAACAACTTGTCTTCAATGAAGGCACATTGGGGACCAGTTGGCTGCAAATGTTTTGAAATACAGTAAGGTCTCCCTTCACTGTCTTCAAAGATTCTTCCTGTCGTAAATAGAAGTTACGTTATGGAACTACTAGTCATGTAAATGACACCTGAGGGTGCAGATTGGAAACTTGAGAAGTCCTTTAATTTAGTCTTTATATTCAATTCTGGTTGGAGGTTTCCATCAGGTATGGAAACATGGGAAGGTATCAGTGATGTCATCATAACATTCGCATAACCTCAGCCACAAGGTCATGGTTAGTGAGAGTGAAGACCGATGGGTGTACTTCTATGCACAAAGAACAGACAAAGCGAAGATACCCTCTAAAAAGTGTCACTGAAAATGTCATCGCTACACTGTACGAAATGTATACTGTATCGATTAGTGTCATGTAATGTCAGGAACTGTTGCTACATATTTATGTGCGATTCTATTTTCCTTGGCAAGTGAGTCCTTCCCAATCTGAAATGCTATCACTATTCTGATGTTAAAGCTATATCTAGTTTTACATTTCAAGGATTATCGGGAAATTGAAATCAACTGGCTTTTCTCAAATGCATCTGTGTTTCCATATATTCCAGATTAAATTAAATAATAGCAAATGTCTTATGATATTTTTTCCTGTGGTTTGCATAATTAAGGACTTTAAAGAATGTTTCTTAGAAAAAGAAAGACAAGCATTGAGTATATATCCACACACAGAAATTAAAAAGAAGAGTATGACCAGGCCCTAGAGGCTCACACCTATAATCCTGCCTACTCAGTATGCTGAGATCCAAAAAAGCACAGTTCAAAGCTCAAGTAGCCAGCAAAAAGCCAGGCTAGAGGAGTGACTCAGGTGGTAAATTGCCAGTTGAACCAGTAAGCCAAGTGAGCATGAGACCCTGAGTTCCAAATCCCATTATCACCAAAAAGCAAACAGTATGTTTGCCTGTTTGTTGAAAGCTCAACCTCACATTTATTGAATCTTGACACCGTGTAAGGTACAAAGTATACAGAAATGAATAGGAAGTGTCCCCTGCCTGTATGAATATTCAACCTGAGAGTGTATAGTATAAAAAAGAATATTAAACAAACGATTTGATATTTTTTTAGTTTCCCTTTGTGGCAAATACGGTTAAATTTAACCGTTAAAAGCCAAGCGCATCTCTATTCCTCTCTGACCTAGGCAACACTTTGCATATCATGTGACTTAGGGTGTTGCTGCTGAACCAGTCATTTAAGAGATGAGGTCCTTGGCTCTGTCTTATAGTCTGATGCTCAGAGCATCCTTTGCCCCCGTCTTCCATCCTGTACATGGCATTCTAAATGGATTCAGATTAAAACACCAAGAAGGAAAACGTGATAGGATGAAAATTTAGTTACCTTGACAGTCAGTTCCTTCCCCAGTAGTGAGCCATGAGGTATCTTCTCAGAGTGCAATGCTATTCTCTTCTTCCTTGCAGATTCCAGTCTATTTGCTTGACCTACTCCCCCGGCCCTCCTCACCCCCATTACATATGTAGGTGTATGGAGTTACATAGCAAGTATGAAAAGCGAGCAACAGTAGTACGGTATTATTCCTTTCAATCTGTGAGCAAATCAATGGATCAGAAGAGGAATGTAAAGCAATCAGCACCAGACCCATAGCAGCGATGTCTCAGGCAAGGCAGGAGCAGGGCTGCTCTTCCTCCGGCCTGCCCACCAGCCTCTGTACGCACTGGAAAACATAAGCACACCAGGAGACAAGTCTCCTGAGGAATCTTCTGAATGTGTAATGGTGTATTCATGAGCTATAGCTCAAGGGGTACATCCTTGGCCCAACCTGCACAGGGTTCTGGGTTCGATCCCAAGCACCATCTATAAAAATGTATTTATGTGTGAGGTGCTTTAGTTAGTTTGGATTTTAGATATATCTGGTTATCTTTCTAAAACCCTAGTCATCTATTCATCCTTTGAGGGAATGATACCAGGTTGACCAACAGAAGTACTAAATTCTTGGTGGAGTGTAGTTTTTATTTAGGTCTTGGATTGTTCACAATTTAACAGAAGTGGGATTACAAGTCTAGACATATATATATATATATATATATATATATATATATATATATACATACATATATAAACCCACATACATCTAATGAATACATAGTATTTTTTAAATGATCTTCTCCTTAATTTTTAAAATGTTTTTTGTTATTCTATAGGAGATGTACAGAGGGGTTACAATTATATAAATGAGGTAGAGAGGACATTTCCTTTTGGACATGTCACCTCTTCTCTCGCTGTCTCCCAGTTTTTCCCATCCATCCCCACTCACAAGTTTTATAGTTAATTTTCAACATCGTGTCTAACAAGTACCATTGCTGCATGTGTTCACCATTTATCTCTCATTTCTGTGTCTCCCCTTATGTTCCCAAAGACATACAGACAAACAGAACAAAAAGAAAAGGGAAAAAAGGAAAAAAAAGCCTCATTGTCATTTGTATTATTTTTTTGGGTAATATTTACATCTTCAGAACATGCTTGAGTTAACCAGAGAACATATTGTAATATCATCTGCAGTTCTTAACTAGTGATATTAGTGATATTAATTCTGTATCTCAGGTAGTTGAGGAATCTTTGTTTCTAAAGTGGAGAATCGCACAAAATATCTCCAGTAGCTCACAATGCACTTTGCATAGAACATTTCTCAAGAACAACCTGATATTCAGGGTGAATTTGAATCTTCATATTGATTGGGTGATGCCATTTCTCTTGAGCACATCTTCTGGTAGAAATCAGTGGGTATGTTGTACTGGGCTATTGAGCTTGGTAAATACTATTTCAAACATTACTCACAGATAGAAGAAACATAAAGAGGAATTTCAGTGTCCAAAATAAAGGACTGGCTAAATATATTTTGACACATAACTAAAGCCAAGCTGATGGACTGTTACCCATCACAAAATAAAATTTGTGAAGGCTAGTTGATAACATGAGAGTTTCCTTACAAAATTATGTAAAAGGATGATATAACTCTTCATGCCTTAATGTGAATAGGTAGTAACACTTGGGCCCAGTGGAATTTTACCCTCTTAACTGCTTAGAGAATTCCCTTTCTACTATTGGGCTTTATTGCTACTTCAGTTCCCTGGTTTTATTATTTTCTTGCAAGAGCAACACTTTCTACGACTTCTATAAATATTTATTTTTCTGTTTTATTATATTTTGCCTTTGGTTCTCATATTTATTTTCTGTTTTAGAGCTAAATAACTCATCATTATTTTTAAATTATATCAGAGTTCCAGCAAAACCATTCAAAAGCCAGAGGGGACATAATTGTCCTTGATAAGATATAGTTCTGTATGTATATGTTTACCCTTAATGCTCCTTAGTTTAAGTGGGCCTAATAGTCTCACTGTGGATTAATTATGTTAAGTCAGGGACAAGTAGCATTTGTGTACATATGGCCTAAGAATGAATCAATAAAATACATGAATAAGCATCCCGATGGTATTATAAAATACAGGCCTGGAAGTGTGTGTGTGTGTGTGTGTGTGTGTGTGTGTGTGTGTGTGTGTGTGTGTTGTGATCATAATGTAGTGTACTTGAAGTTCAAAGTCAGGCAGCGGCATCACAGTAAACTTGCAAAATAGATCTTCACGTGAAGGGAATATTGCATGATTACTGCGCAGAACTCTCAGTGTTAGTTTTGCATTTCTGTTTGATGGAATCTGAGGTTATGGAAACAACTGTAAAAATAATTTGCCTGAAAGAAGTCTGGATACAGAAACCTAAGAGAAAATATTTGAGAATATGGTTCATCATCGAGTGCAACAGATCCTCTTCCCCCAGCGCCACATGGCGCGGATCAAAGCATCTCGTGACTTGGATCCGCGTGGCCAAATCATTACGTATTGATTGGAACCCCACTGGAGAATTAACCCCTTGGTGTCCATGCTGTGTTTCCTCTTACTCTTGCTATCAGTAATTTCAGTAGAATAAGCTTCCTGCCACTGTTGGCTTGTTTTTTTGTTTTAAAAAGCTAGTCATTTACTTGGCTATATTTGTCTTACTAAATTCTTTTATTATTATCTTCAATTATTTAATTGTACTATGCCAAATAAAATTAACATATGAAAAAATAATTATTGGCGGAGGAAAAGAGGGAAAAATGTAAAATATTCTGGCTAGAAAAACGTAAGAGATCATCTCATTCAAGTGCAAATTTTTATCATTTTATTATGGGGGCTTGTTAACGTGTAGCTTCTTTTTTTCTTAATTTATTTTTTAACTTATTTGAACTTAAAAAATCATTGTTAAGGACTTGTACCAAGGGGTAAGTTGTAGTTTTTTTGTTTGTTTGTCTGTTTTGTTGGTTGCAGGGTTTGAACTCAGGGTGGGGCGCTGTCCCTGAGCTCTTTTGCTTAAGGCTAGCTGCCTACCATTTTGAACCACAGTGCCCCATCTGGTTTTTGAGTGGTTAATTGGAGGTAAGAGTCTCACAGAGACCTTTCTGCCTGGGCTGGCTTTGAACCATGATCCTCAGATCTCAGCCTCCTGGGTAGCTAGGATTACAGGCCCAAGCCACTGGTGCCTGGCTAAGTTGTAGCCTCTGGAAGAGTACTTTGCTGCTAGGTAGAAAGCTTTGCCTGGACAGAAACCTGTCAAACATGTTTCGTATGCAAAGGTAGGTTTCTAACATTAGATAACTGTGCCTAAAAATATTTAGAACACCATATTTTAACATATATAGTTTAACTCTAGTGTTTAAAAAAATTGCTGAATCAATTAGTGGATCCCGTGGGAAAGGACAGGTGGAGGGCCCTCGTGGGTCCTGTGGGCTCCTGTGGGGTGGACACTCTGTCCTGTGCTGTGGTTCTTGGCATCACACTGATTCTCTTGTATCCTGTGTGCTTTTTTTTCAGTTTGCCCCATGAGGAGCACCCCCATAGCCATCCCCTCTACGGACACGGGGTGTGCAAGTGGCCAGGCTGTGAAGCTGTGTGTGAAGATTTCCCATCATTCCTAAAGTAAGGATTCCATTTTGGTCTTTGAAATTGCCATCGCCTCCCACCCACTGTTCATGCTTTCCACTCATCTAGTGCCTCTCTGGTGTGGACTTCCACACCGCCATTTTGAGAATGGCCTTTTAAGACACTATAAGAACAGTTACAAAACCTCTTTGAGAGTTGCGTCTTAAAGGGAGACTTAGATCCTTTTTAGTAACAGCATGTATTTATTCATTTTCCCAAAATGACAGTGGTTTATAGAGAAAGTTAATCCAGTATTAAATTTGTACTGATGTAGTTTTCACTTGGTGTATATTAAATGTTGGTTCCTATTGGTGTGTATTCAAACAATGATATAAACATGAATTCTAACTTTGTAAGGTTAATCAGCAGCAGCTTGGCCATTGGGCTGTTGCTTTGACATTATACAAATGGTTTTATAAGCCTCAGAAAGGGATGCTGAGGAAATGGCACCAACTTGATGCTGTGCTCGTGTTGACTTTTGCTTGGCTGATTCTCCTTATAAGGGGACGGGCAGTAAGTTTAATGTCTACAGGTGAGGATGAGCCAAGTTTGGGTCGTCCCATTGGAATCTGTAATTCAGTTGCAGCCTCTCCTAAGCCCTCCGTCTTCTTAGAGTTGAAGCAAGTTTCTACTCCTCATGCGCCCCTTGCCCATGTTACTCTACCAGTGTCTAAAACTTTAGGTTAACATGCCTTGCATTTCTTGTGTGTGTGTGTGTGTGTTTTAAGCTCAGAGCTTTATTATGTTCAGCCTTAGCTTTTTCTCCACTGTTTAAGCCCTTGAGCCAACAGCTCCAATTTTGGCTTTTTGCTGAGTAATTGAAGATAAGAGTCACTCAGACTTTTCAGTCCTGGCTAGCTTCAAACCTTGGCCCTCAGATCTTGGCTTCCTGAGTAGACATCACATAAATAGAATGTCATTGAACTGTTGGTGCAGGAACTGAATATAATGCTTTTTTATTACTAAGCATGCAACTTGTAATAAGGAAGCAGGTGCACCCTTGAGGGGGTCTGTACCTTTGAACACCTGATGGTTATGAAGTTGGTGCTTAGGGTTCTTTTTTGTGCAAAGCTATTCTCATGGAAATGGTGGGCTGATTGATGTGAAGGCCTGCTTTGTGTATTGTCTTTATGGGGTTAGAATGATCGCACAAGCTTTTGTTTTTTTGGTCAGTCATAAGGCTTGAACTCTGGTCCTGGGTGCTATCCCTGAGCTTTTCAGCTCAAGACTAGCACTCTCCTGCTTGAGCCACAGCACCACTTCTGGTTTTCTGGTGGTTTATTGGAGAAAAGAGTCTCATGGACTTTCTTGCTTAGGCTGGCTTTGAACTGCAATCCTCCAATCTCAGCCCCCTGAGTAACTAGGATTGCAAGTGTGAGCCACTGGTGCCGGGCTGATCTCACGATCTTTATAGACCAGGACTCAAAAATTGCACTAAAGCCACCCTTAGAGATATAGCTAGGATTACCTTCAAGCAGTTTTGTCTAACCTTTTCTTTAAAAAAATATATATGTAGATAGATAGATGAATCTTAATGATAAATACACGTCTGTGGACTTACTTCATAGCTTCCTGGATTGAATATTTTATTTCAAGAGTATTATGTAAAACTTAAGTAGTAAATATTTTAAAAGAAATAACCTCAACATGCTGCTAAATATTAGCAATCCAGAACAGTGTTGCTTTATTTAAAATGAAGTAATGATCCTTTACAATTATTAGTGTTCAGATCAGCAATGCTCTCTCTCCTGTGCACCTTTGGAAGTCCTTCCTTATGGAAAGTGTCCTGTTGTCTTCCTAGAGTTTGTCTGATGGTAGTAATATGCTAATAAAAAGAACGGCACGGAAACCACTGCTAAACTCCACCTTCCCCTTGTGTACCAGTGTAGATCAATGGCTGGCCAATTTCCCTCCTCAATAGAAGAGCTGACAAACATTTGTAAATGCTCATTTTGAAAAGTCATTGTCTGTACTCCTAGTGAGGGGTTTTACCTATGGAGTTAGAAACGGAAATTCCAAGTTTCCAGTTTGACCAATTTAAACACACACACACACATACAAAACAAAACAAAACAAAAAACAATAAAAACCTTAAGTTGGATATATTGGTTCATGGCTATAATCCTAGCTATGGGGGGGGGGAGGGGCTGAAATCAGGAAGATTGTGGTTTGAGGTCAGTCCAGGCATACCCAGAAGACCTCAGCCAACAGCTGGTGTGTGCCTGTCATCCCAGCTTATGTGGGAGGCTGAGATTGAGAGGATCATAGTTGCGGGCCAGCCCAGGTAGAGAGGTTTATAAGATTCCTTCTCAAGGGGGTAACCTGGGCATGATTGTGTGGACCTATCCTCCCATCTACAATAGAAGATGTCAAATGGGTAGATTGTGGTTTTGGTGTACTTCCTGGTTAGGAAGAGAGACACCCCCCCACCCCCACTCAAAATGGCCACTGCCAAAGAGGATTCATGGGCAGAGCATCTGCCTAGCAAGCACATGGCCCTGTGGTTAAACTCTTGTAAAGCCTCCCCCCCAAAAAAAGGATTAGTATTCAAAATGTTTCTAGCCTGAGAATCTTATTTTTTAAATTTATCTTTAAGTAGTTGTACAGAAAGGTTTCACTTCAGTGTGTCAGTTTTTGAGTACAATGCATCTTGATCAATGTCAGTCTGATCTTTAAATCATAGGCTTCTAGATCACATGAGCAGAGAGAGAGAGATTTGTACGTATATGCAGAGAGAAGGGGGAGAATCATTTCAATCCACGTTTCACATAAAGAAAAAAATTAAAAACAGACTTGATTCCTAAGAACGAAGGAACAGGCCATTTGTTTTCTGACTGTGGTCACGAGTCTGGCTCTGGTATTGGAAACCACTGTCTATTATTCACTGTAGTTTTGCACATGGCATGGTTCTCAGTTCCTGTTTATTCAGAGGAATTGGAAGGCCTAGTGTCAACTGCTTGGTTATTTCCTGGTACCAATTTTATGGATTTGTATTATTGAGGAGCGTTTTTATTTGTAAGTTCTACAAACCTAACATTAATTCACCTACGAACAAAATAAACAAGCAAGGTATGGGATAATTGGCTCTTGTAAACTAGGAAGTCCAATAATAATGACAGCTTCCAGCATGGCTTGCACAAGGTAGCTGGACTATGTTGAAATGTTGTCTGTCACCAGTTTCTGTGTTGCCGTCATGTTGGACCTTTCTCAAATGGAACTGGAGAGGACAGGTTTATTTGGCCCACTTAATCCCATAGTACATCTGTTTCCCAGTACTTTAAGGAAAAAGCACTTAGCTGACTGTCATTGGGCCAGATTGAGTCATGTGTTCCAGTTTTGAGCCAATCGTGGCGAAGCAGCCAGGCTTGCATCATAAACCCCACCCCTTTAGCTCAGGGAGATTCACTACCTGACCACCTCAAGACTGGAGAGGAGAATTTTTATTCCAGAAAGAAACAATAAAGCTTGGCAACTTGAAAAAGAAGGAGGAATCCTAGTTAAGCAGGAAAACCCTATTTTTCTTGTCACTTTCTGAAGAAAGTGTTTGGATTGCATATAACAAAGTTAGTGGCTTGGATATAACAAATTTAGCATTTTATTTTCCCTCTACAGCATTTCCTCCTAGATTTTAATGCTGGGAAAGTTAGACTTCTCATCAGGCATCAGGATCTTGCCCAGTGCAGTGGAAAATAAGTTAGTCATCTTAGAGACCTACCTCTTTCACAGGACTCTGCTCAGACCTAAAGGGGAATTGAGTTGTCTTTAATGAATTTTGGTTTTCCTTTCATTGGACTGAGAGATGCTACTGAACTTCTGGTAATTCAAATAAAATCCACATGGCTTCCTAGAATATTATTATAGGATCATTGTCTTCAGCCAAGGGTAGTTGAAACATTTCTTCTTAAATATGCTTGTCTGGTAGCCTTTGGTAGCATCTCTTTCATTTCTTTCTGTTTTTAGAAATGATTTCTTAATATATAGGCAGATTGACACCAGTGCTGCTTGCATTGTCCATGATCTTCTTACTCAACAAAATGTAGTGTGGCTTTTACCTTGCAATTTGCTTCACAGATTTTTTTTAATTCATCATATATTTCGAATCCCCATTCTTTTTGTAATAGTTAATAATTAAATAACACTGAACTGTGAAACAGACACAGTTACAAAGCCCTATACATCTATTAACTGGTTTAATCCTCAGAACTACCTCATTGGGATAATACTGTAGCAGCAAGGCAAACATGTAGTTAAGACAACCAAGACACAAAAAGGCTAAATAATTTACCCAAGATTACACAGCTAGTAAGAAGTAGAGACAAGATCCAACTACAGAGTCCTTGCTCTTAACTGCTACACCTTATTACCTGGTAGAGGCTGCCCTTTAGTTATTTACTTTCCCTTTATGCAGAAAACATAATGAAAGTTCTAGAGAAAGGCAGATTAAGTAGTAAAACCATTTAATTCTTGGAGTATACTTTCGGCTAGTATGTAGCATCTCTGAGTCTCAATATATTGAGAATAATAATAATGGCCTCTTATAGTTATCTGGTTGTTCCATGTAAAGTCTAGAACAGCATAGAAAAGCCTGGGGGGGAAAATCTAGATTATTCTAGTCACTCAAAAAAATATATTGGCTTCTCTCATCTGTGTAAGTTTCTTTTAGGAAGACTATCTTTAAATATCCCAAACCTTCTGAACTTGTGTTCTCAGGAGGAGTTGTAAATATAGGAAATAGTGATGTGGCAGAGAGTCTGTCCCTTTAAACCAAGTTTTTTGGTTGGGTTTGTTGTGCCAGTCCTGAGACTTGAGCTTAGGGCCTGCTCACGGCTCCACCACTTGACCTACAGCTCTACTGTTGGCATTTTGTTTTTGTTTTTAACCTTCCTTGCCTGTGTTGGCTTCAAACTGCAATCCACAGGTCTCAGCCTCCTGAGTAGCTAGGATTACAGGTGTGAGCCAAAGTGCACAGCTTCATGCTAGTTTTTAATCAGAAATTT